ATTTCATCTCCAACCTGAGTGGGAAAATCCCAATGATTGCCAGTGTTTCCTAGACCTTATGATTTAGTTTCACGGAACGAGCAGAGCAACAGGGAGGGTCAGAGCTATCCCATAAGAGGGACCGTGGTGCTATAAATTTGTTACAATTTCGAAACGGAAGACCAATGGTTCATAAATTATTCAGGAAGAACGATTAGTCTTTATACCTTGCAATTTGTAAATTATTTTTAATATTTCATTTAAAAAGGGGACTAATTTTTTCGGACTGAAAGAACCTTTTCGAACGGTTCAAAATAGAAAATCAAATCCAGGCTTCCCAAATTAGAATAACAAAATTATTGCGATGTTTCAACTATAAATGGCAATCAAAATGACCATGATTCAAAACGGCCATGAATCGCTGATCTTTCATGATTTCCCAAAATGAAAAAAATCAGTCTAACATCTTCATGACTTCATCCAACAAAATGATCACATGCAACAGCCCCATTGGCTAAAATTGCATGCTTGACGACAATTAAATCACAATTTCATCTCCAGCATGAGTGAAAAAATACCAATGATTGCCAGTGGTCCCCAGAACTTATTATTTAGTTCCACGAAACGGGCCGAGGGGCAGGGAGGGTCTTTGAGCTTTCCAATAAGAGCGTCTGTGGCGCTATAAATTTGTTACAATTTCGAAACTAAAAATCAATGATTCATAAATTATTCATGAAGGAAGGTCATAGTCTCTAATTTTTTGCGAATGAATAAAATCTTTCGCAACGGTTCAAACTAGAAAATCAAATTCAGACTTCCTAGATTTAAATAACAAACTCATTTCATGACTTCCCAAAATTAAAAAATCCATCTAACATCTTCATGACTTCATCCAACAAAATGATGACATGCAACAGCCCCATTGGCTAAAATTGCATGCTTGACGACAATTAAACCACAATTTCATCTCCAGCATGAGTGAAAAAATACCAATGATTGCCAGTGGTCCCCAGAACTTATTATTTAGTTTCACGAAATGCGCCGAGGAGCAGGGAGGGTCTTTGAGCTTTCTAATAAGGGGGCCTGTGGCGCTATAAACTTGAAACGACGGACGTGTAGCACTGCCGTATGAAATGTGACGGGACGTCCCACGTGCACTGGCCTCCTATACATCTATAAAAACCCCACCTTATTCCCTTCTCATTTTCAGGCAAAAACTCCTTTGCAACGCCGCACGTTCAGTGTGTCGTTGCGTAACCGTAAAAAAGGGGGATTTCAGCCTTGAAGCAGACATCGTTACCAACTCTCAGGCACTTGAGTGAGACTCAGCTATTCTTCTGACATATCAACTCATCTCCAACGTAACCCGTTCACTTGACACGATTTTTTTTTACTATTATGTTATTCCTCGAGGGGGGATACTCAAATGGGGAGTGAGAAATTGCTTCATTCGTGGGGATATCTAGATAGAACAATTCATGCCATGAGGTAGAGTTTTAAAAAATGTGTTCTTGGGATTTTTTTTACGACAGAGAACGAAGAATTTCTGTCTCTGGGGTTCATCCAGTGAAATCCAATGTAATATAACTGAAATCGACAGATTCGATCGGTGTGAAACGCCATTTGTTCAGATAGCAGAATATTTTCAAAACTCTTCACTATAAATAGCGTTTCAAGTCACAAGTTTAGCGCGTCTGACCTCACGTCGGCCGTTTGAGCATTCCTATTGACTTCCAGAACTGCTTTTTCCTGTTTTTTTCATGGACAGTCTTGTATTCTATGTCAGGAAAATAATACGAGTACGATTTAGGGGGAAAAAGCTTGTGGAATTGGAAAGCTTCTCTCTCTTTACATTCAAGTTGACATTTTTACGTTTTTTTAATTCATATTTCTTTCCTACTACCATTACGGCTCCCCATTCGTCTGCCTTGCCTCTCCCATTTCTCTCTTCTGATTTATCTGCGTTACCATGGGCCGTCTTACTCTTATCAATTGCACCCCATTGGGGTGAGGACTGCACGGGAAACCATGGAAAACCCCTGTTGTACAGCCGGCCGATTGCAGCGTCCTACTGTGCCCATCCGTCGCACTGACTTGATGGGTGCAGTAGTTCTCCACACTCGCGCCTGGCGGCAGCAGTTCTGCTCGAGTAGGTAGGGCTAAGCAGTCACCCATCCAAGTACTATCCAGACTAAACTGTATTTATATTAGACTTTTTTTCCGTTTATTCTATTTGTTTTTGCCTCTTCCAGAGCCTGGGGGAGCTGAAATAATTTAGCAAAACGTCGCTTCTTTTGCCAATTTAATCAACGTTGTTATTATTTCTCCGAATCCCCCTATTCCTTCACTTCAGTTGAAGTTTACATTCACCAAAATTTTCCAAATTTACTTTTCCCCGTGGATATCCCTAATATTTATTCTCAGGAATCGATGCAGAATGTCACAATCATGATAAAGGGTAATCCCATTCAGACACTGCACACAAAGAGAACGATATCTAACAGGAAGAATATGGGCGGAGGGGGAGGGGGACAGATCACGGTCGAGCCATCGTACGATATCGTTTTTATGCATATATGCTGGATATGCATTCGCAGTGTTGCTCGGGTATTTTTTTTTACACTTTTGAAATATGTTCCACACGGAAATTTATATCGTGACAACAACAAAGCGCTCAGTACTCTATGATTTTATGGTCTCACACGAAGTTCTAGCGATTTTCAACATTTTATTCATTTTTTGTAGGTCGTAAATTGTGAAAATTTTGAGATTGAAAAATACTCTTTGATGAAGCATCAACTCGCTGGGTTTATCTCAACACCGGGTTATTTGAATTTTCAATGAGTCAGAGATGTGGATATATACGTCAATCGTTTCCTTATGTAACGAATGCGCTGAGGTATACTTTAACTCCTCCGATGTACTCAGACGAGCCAAACGTATCGCAAAATAGATTTCGCGGAAAGACGTGGGGTATAACGTAACTCTTATATTCTTCCACTTGGTGATTTAATTAATTACCCCGAGTGAAATTCAATGTTCGAGTGGGGGAAGAGGAATTGCGGGGGATCCTTTAATCCACTCGTTTTCTCGTGTCTTCAGTCACTGGGTGAATTAATAAACGAATTGGGATGATGGGTGAGGAGGGGAAGTTGATAATACTAAGTAGGGAAAACATCAAAGAGTTTTTTCCAGGAATTAGTAATTTTGACAGAACAATTAGTTTCAGTGGAGATAATGACGAGATTGAAGAGAGTTCCCTGTTTTGCCCCAGGTTCCCACTATATCGGTTAATTCCAGAAATTAATTTATTTCCTCAATTTAAGAGGTAGAACCACTCGTTTTTTGCTTAATTTTAGAGGAAATTTTGATTTTTGAATATGAAAATTGAAAGAAGCCTGTCAGTAATATATTTTTTTATTAAATAATTGAGGAAAATGGATGAAAGGAGACTGAGAATTCTGATTCTCTTGTGTTCTATATTTAAAAAAATGAAAATAGTACGTATCAAATCTTTTCTCATCAAGAAACAAAATTCTTGAATGAGGAAATACAGATACAAATTTGTTTTTGTATTTCAGGACATCCATAAAAGCATCTGTATATTTTTTTATTCAATTAGTCATTAATTAATAAATTACTGAAAACCGCCTAGACCGATCGACAATCATCAACTCATAATGATCGTCAGATTTTGAGAGCTACGATGGAGAATAAGTTAAAATGAACACTTTTGACATTTTTTCTAATGTTAATAACTCAGAAACAAATTTATCAATCGAAGTCAGTCAAGCTTCATCACAAAAGGGAACAATTATCCTTTCCATGAAAAAAAAAATTCCCATTTCGTCGGAAAATTACATGATTAATTAAATCTAGTTCCAAAAAATCTAAAAATATTCGTTTTGCCTCATTTGTCCCTATTTCCCATTACTAATTTGCTCAGTTCAAGAATTATTCTTTCTCCGTGCAGTAATAACATAACACCCTGGAACTGTTGAGCTCCGGCGAGAAAATAAAAAAAACTAGCGAGAACAAACCCTGCACTGGGCTCGTTACATTTATCCGTATCAGGGCCGACCCTTTGTTTCTTCGTCTTTGTTTCTGGACTGCGCGCAGCCCCTGTGATGGCTCTGATATAAAGCTTTCCCTCTTGCCTGCCATTAATCATTCCCTCCCTCCATTACATTAAAAACCCCGTTGAAAAACTCTTTTTCATCCACCGAAAAGGGATTGACGTAACGACAAATATTCACATCTCTCCTGTATGTGTTTTTCCCACTCCTCCGTGCCATTTTTTTTCCTTTATTGCTCCCGCATGTGAGGCCACTCGCGTTGAAAAAAATGTTTTGTAATTTTCCATTTACAGGAATAGGATATTTCAACAGAGTAGAATTTATCTGGCATTTAGAATCTCTTTGCGCATGACGGCGACTATGCCGTTTGTGCATGGTTATTAGTTAGCGGGTAGTTAGTGACGCTACAGAGGCCAGGCTAATCTAGGGGAACCTTGAGGATCTTTCATATTTACACGCTCATCCTGCGTTTACCTTCACTAATGCTCGTTATGTCACGTTCTGAATATTTTTTCTCGTGAAACCGAGTTTCGCGGTAGCGGATCGGCCGAGGAACTGTTCAAATCAGGCCGAGCACTGCCGTGTTCACCTACTCCGTGCACTCTTCAATTTTGAACTTCCCGACCCAAAGGGGGGAAGTTCTTGTAATGACCCCGATAAGGAAATCTTGAATTTCGATGATTGGATTACGTTTTATGACCTCTTGAGTCATCCTAAAACGCTTTCGAAGACATGGCTGTGTGTGCTTATTTATGGGACGGAAATTTTGTTCAACGATTTCTCCTCAACAAATGAACCGTCTCAACTTTTCTTTTAATCGATGCGTCTTCTTAATAGAAATTCTGCGCAATTTGGTACTAAATATTAACGTTTTGTTTGGAAAGCCAAGTAAGTTGGGTAATTCTGGTTCTGCTGCTGCGAAAAATTTTAGTTATCCAAATGAACTCGATTTTCATTATTCAATTTATAAGACATTTTGTTCACACCATAATCATATTACGATTAATGAATCTGAGGATAATAATAATTAATAATTGGAGTGAGTGGAGTTCAGCCAATTGGAAATTTTTGAAGCAATGATGTATCTTGCTTCCTTGAGGCCTTCTATGTCTGTCGACTTCTCGGACTTCAGATCTGCGCAATGTGATGAGCCTGCAAGAAATTGAGAAAATAAATGCATGGATTAAAAAGGCACCAACTCCCACAAATCCCATCATGAGACAGGGTGGTTTTTGTTCGCGACTAGTTTGAAAACGATTGAATCATGAACCTTTAATAAAAATTGCTGAAGCCTCCTTGTTGATGTCTTTGAGCACTGATAGTGCGTGCCATGGATCCACATCACCATTAGTGAATATAATGCGGTCCACATCAGGTAGATCTGCACCATACATAATATTCGTTCTCCTCACACTCTTTTTCACGATACCTTCATTGTAACTGAAACAAAGCACAAAGGGAAAATCAATTCCAATTCTTCAGTAGATGAGCTCAATTCCGTTTTAACTCTAGATTGGTCGCCATCTGAGGGAAACGCCACAACGCTTCGTGTTTCTGTAATTGTCTAACCGAAAATATTTTTGAAAGATTAACTTTTTTAATTGAAGTATCTAAAAAATGATAGTAGTTTTTGGAACAACATAATTCCCGAAGTTCATAAAGAAAATAAATTATTTCCACGATGAATTATTTTAAATTATTTCCAAAATAAATTATTTTATTCTACACTGATAGAATTTAGTTGCTGTTATACGATAAGATTTAATTGCTGTTAATGCAGTTTTTTAACTATTACCGCGATTCGTTAACTATTAACGAATCGCGGTAACAGTTAAAAGCCTCGTTTGGTGCAACTGAATCGTTCCACTTTTTCTATCAGTGTAGAAGAGCCGGGTTCGAATCCCGGCTGGGCGGTGCGGAATTTTTTCTCACTAAATTCTAATTCTCTCTTTTTTACTATTTACTATTTGAAGAACTGCTACAGTACTTACTATTCGCCATACAAATCTTTGCACATCTGAATGTCGGAGTCTATCGGAAAGAGTGTTCCAAATATGGATTTTGGAGAGTTCGACGTTTGATAGTATCCGTACTCCGTACAAGTCTGATAAGTCCACTGTCTCACTATGGAAGAGTCAAACAGAAAATATTTTGTCACAATTCATAATGTTGAACATGACTGGATCACAGCTGAAGCTATAGGCAAAAATAATTCATCTACATATAAAGAAAGGGAAAAATGCAGGAAAAATAGAGATTTCATCGAAGAATAATTACTGTTGCTCGAAGCTGCTTCAGACTCCCAAGAGGTATTACGATAGGAATTGATAAAATCGCTGTACTTCAAATTCACGCATTTACGATTATTCCGACTCTTGAACATATTGGCGAGTCGGTCATATGGCGACGAGGCATTCCCAGAAGGCGCCATCATCAAATCGCACAGTTTCACAATTGACGTTTTCCCGTCCCATTCAACTGAGTTATATTGCACGGTGCTGGCGAACATCTGAACACGAGAAAATTTTCACATTTCTTTCTTACTATACCGATTCTGTCAATTTGTAAGGATTCCAAGGATCTCAGGACCTAAAGCGACTGAATGATAAACTGAGATAATATCGAAAGAATTTTTTTTAAATTCAATTTGAAGGGTCTCCTCAGTTGTTTCTGAAAAACAACAAAAAATGTCAGAATTGATGTAAAAATTTATGAGAGCATCCATATACGGAGTGACTTGACGTTGTAATGCAGACAGTTCCTCAATTGACTGGAACTTCTCAATTTTTCATCATTTTTTTAAACTATCATAAAAACCAACGTACTTGACATTTTTATTCAATTTTTGTATTTTATCATTCTGTTGGATGAACAAATTTCATGCGACCCTATTCATCTCCTAAAAGATTCAAGAATGAAACATCAAAATAGAAGGTAAAGCGAATGAAAAAATTATTCGAATCGCAGAAGAAAAATTTGCTGGAGTACTCAAGCAAACATCGAACATATTCAAAACATTAAACCCTATATATCTCCATGCCAGCGTCTATATTTGGTATATATTGTTTATTTTATACCGCAATAATCAAAGCTGAAAAAAAAACTCGAACTTTCTTCGGTGACTGCGGTTCGAGATAATCATTCTTACGGCGATTCCACAATTGCCGAAAGGATGATAATCGAAAAACAGTTGGATGATTATTTTTAATAATTGCAAGCGTCGCGTTAACCCTGGAATCTCCTTTACGTGTAAAAAACTTCTTGTAAGGCCATGTCTTCACTCATTGCAATGAGTCAAGACAACATTCAGGTGAACAATTTGGAACAATTTGGAACAATTTTTAAGTTCTGGGGAGGTTCGACTTACTTCAGCAAGAGACCTCGTCACCCATGCAAGCTCCGTAGATTTGGAAATGTCGGGAACATCACAAAGGCTGAAAGTACATTCAGTTATCAATTTGATTAACAAAACCCTGATGTATGAATTTCATATCACATTCACATACTTGAAATCATCTTTAAATTTTTTAGGGTCCGCGGTTTTTCCTGTAAGAAGTTTTTCAATAACTGAGAATGCCGCTTTAGTGTCAGTAGCACATTTTTCATTGTAAATATTCAGAGAATTCCTGACCACTTCATAGTATTCTGCGAAAGAAAGGAAAATATTCGATTTTAGAGGAAGACTATGAATTCAAAACTGACAATAAAACGCTGTTTATGACTTTGTCTTCACATGACAATGTAAAGGTACCATAGAAATCGGCTTTTGCACGAACAGGTGCACTGCTCGCCACAGCCCCCGAGATTAAGTGCGGGTACTTGATGCGCGCCCAAGCTGCCATATTCCCTGCGTACGACCCACCAAATACAATGACAGGGGATTCAGAAATATTCAATTTTTGTTTTGTGGTGTCGATGAAAAAAACAACGTCCGCGAGAGCCTGATCGACGCTGAGAAATTGAAGATTTTCAGCACTTGTGTCCCTGAAAATATCAACGAAAACAATAATGAATGAACAGGAGCATTTTGCTCACTTTGACAGGTCTATTTCAGTACTTCCCCATTGAAAGGATGTTCATAATATTTTTGTGGGCCGCAATGAGAACTACAAAAACGGATTCTGATGGCAATTTTGCTCTTCATTTTTCTTTCAAATCGCGTGAATGACTTTTAAGAATATCCAGGTACTTTGGCTATTTTTTCTCCAGTGAAATACTTTTCTACTTTTGTAGCCGAACATCAGAGCTTTCATTTGAGCCCCGTTTCATTTGATCCTAAGTTTCCGGATATTTTACAATGATTTTATTATTTAAACTTTCCAGGTCTCAATTTGAATCTCGATATTGAACCGTTAGAAAACATTTTAAAAAACGAAAAAAAATACAAAGTTTACGTTTGAGAAAGATTGATGAAATAATTAAAAAATTGTAATTTTTGAAAATGACGAGTATTTTTTATAAACAATTCATAAACAATCAATTTTTCATCATAAAAATCATTTACTCGGAATCGTAAAAAATTTATTCATATTCAGAATTTTACCAGAAATCCATTTCAACCCGAAAAAAATAAGGATTTACGAAAATTTAAACAATTTCAATTATGTTCTTATAAACACCGAATGTTTTAAAAAATCATAATTCCGTGCAAAATGTAATTTGAATGACACTGAATATTCATGATTTTTTTCAAATTATTCTTTCGCAATTTAATTGACAAATTTGATGATTGAAAATGGTTGAATTTATACGGTGATCTATATCAAACTGTAAAAGATACTTGGATATCTTTAAGGATTGAATTCGAAGACGTTAAAAAAAATTGACCGTGAAGTGAAATTATAAATAAAATCTTACACAACAGGGCGACTTTTCCCGTAATATCGGTGCTCCGTATAGTACATCATGGCTCCATGAACTTCAGCGTTCTCGAATAAAATTCCAGTCTGAAGATAGCCAGGAGTAATTGTCCATTCTCCTCCCAGCATAACGAAAATGGGTCCAGTTTTGTTGAAGAACTGATCATTCTCGTAATACCTCATCCTCCATGTCCTATTATTGGTCACATCGAAATGATCCAGAGGCTGTTCAACCCATTTCTCCTTTAAAATCCTCCCACCCTTCACCACAGGCTCTTCCAGGCCCTCATAATGGAACCCTCGGAATCCGAATCCCTGGATTGAAACTAGGATTGAGAAAAGCCAGACGAAAATACTCGGACGCCACATCGTAGCTTGGAAATTATAATTAATCGCTCCCGGAACTCTGTTTGATACTGAATCGTATCGTAGTAACAAGCGAATATCGTAGTGATCATATCATATCATATCATATGATAAGATCATCTCGGACTACCAATTTATGATTTTCCACCAATATTATCGCAGTGTATCTGTGACATTTCGTCAACTGTGGACTGACCATTTGAAATTCTAATGCTTTCAAAAATTCTACTTGTCACAGGTACATCGCTAGAAATTTTTGGCTGAAGTACTCACTAAACCTGTTAGAAATTTCTAACACATTACAGTTCCAGTGAATTTTAAACAATTTCATGAAGAAGAATGGGGCAAAATGACACAGGGAAGAAACGACTAATTGACGCAAATCAAGTAAAAACAAATTTTTTTAATCAACTTTTGTTTATCAACTCTTTTTATTATTCAGAATACTGATGACAATAATAATGTCTTATTCGTCTTATAATTCAATTGATTACAATTCAATTGATTAGATTAGGCCGATTGAACTTTTTATTTCATTCGTTTGAGATTCCATAACACATCTTCCGCATTTCCCAATCTAGGTCTCCCCCTGGGCCTTCCTCGGGATTTTGGAATTTGCTGTTTCATTTTCTTTTCAATTAATCCATTAACAAAATCTTCTCCTGTCAAAACCTCTCAATAATTTTCCATTCTACTGAGAAATTCAAAAAAAAATTCAAAGAGAATTAGAATTTAAAGAGAAAAAAATCCCGCACCGCCCAGCCGGGATTCGAACTCGGGTCTCCCAGTTACGCGCCGGGCACTCCACTCTACTGAATGGAAAATTATTATTTTAATCAATACTCCCAATAATAAAAAAAAGTTAATCAATAAAAATCAATAGAAACAATAATTAAAAAAAATGTTTTTTGCTTCAATTGCGTCAAACAGTTGTTTTTTTGACAGTTTCATTTTGCCCCAGTCTCCCCTACTTAAAAAATCAAAATTTTATGGAAAAATCAGTGAAAACTTTTTGGATTTAAATAATTTCTCTCAAGTAAATCTGTTCCACGCCTTCAAATATTCTCACGTGGAACATACAGGTTTTTCGGTGGAGCTAATTTTTTTTGTAATGAATACTGCGCATTACTGTGTATTCTTTATCTATTCCTTTTCTTCGTAATTATTTTCTTCCATCCTTGCGTACTACTATACAGCCGTAGGCAAACAATTTAACTACACTTATAGAACGGATTAGTTATTGTTAACAAATGGATTTTGGTTGGAGGTTAGGGTCTATTCGGTCTTACCAAATGTTCATTCGTTAATAGTTAACGAATGTATATTTGAGGAGCCTTGTTTGACTTGACTTTCGCCATTCAAGTGAACCATTCGTTGACTATTAACGAATATCCATTTGATCATATTCAACTTTACCATTCGTTAATAGTTAACGAATCTCGTTTGGAATAAATGAATCATTCTATCAGTGTATCATTAATGTATAATTCATTCCCATGCATAGTATGCGCCAAATAAATTAGACACCCCTGCTTAAACAATTCCTTTTCTCTCCTACGAATGCGTCCCTAATGACTACCGGAAATCCCCCAGAATCTATAAAATTCTAATGTCGAAAGGAAGTGTAAACCTCCACTTCAGCTCAGCCAAACGCTTTTTATTCATTCCCCGATGCTATCAACTTCGATTGTCTGTTTTCGCCTCAATCGCACATCACAATGGCCATCCAAAAACTGGTACATTTCCACCGAATTCCGACTCCCACCGCCCCTCGTTGGTGTAACACGGGGCAGAGGAAAAACGATTCATCTTGCAGTCAGCGCGGCGTAACCCGGAGATCGATATGAGGGGCAGGAATAGTGGAAGTAGCGGGATAAAGAGGGAGGGAGCACGAGCAAGAAGAGGGTTAAGGGTTTCGGGGGAGGTCGAGAGTAGAGGGTGTTGTGGAGGCAGCCAAGGGGAATTTTCGAGGGTGACGAAGTAACTGGGGCGAGGCCAGGCACACGTACACGTCTTACATCCACTTTGCGACCCCTCGACATCCCCCAAAAGAAGCCCAAATGAACCAGAAGAACCCTGAGAAGAAAAAAACATCTCCAATTGAGAAGATTGTTGAAAATTCTAGGCTGGGTTGAAAAAAACTGCACTGTTAAACATTTTTCACTGAGATTTCTGGTAAGGGTCTTGGGAAATTTTAACAAGTAACAGTTCCACCGAAATTTCAAGGAATTTTTGCATTGAAATCTCATAATTTCATGGAAAAATCCGTGGAAACTGTAAATTTCAGTTTAATTATTTCAGGAAAATTAATGAAAAATGAAAGAAATTCAGGGAAATCTTTCCTTCAATTCCCCATTTCTCTAATTTTTTTAGGAATTCCTTAAAAATTTGTGGATTTCCCAGAATTTTAAAGGAATTCCCTGAAAATTGCAGGAACTCACAGAAAATTGATTAACCCACATAAATTTGCAAGCAAGAATAACAATCCCCCAATTCCGTCAAATAAAAAACCGATAAAACAATTCATTCGATTCCTCATCCCGCAGGTTCGTCGAACCACGGCGCTCTTGCTGTTGCACCTGCCTCGGCCCATGTGAGGTGGTCAGGTGGACTCGACTTCCGGGATCGAAAAATGTTTCACAGTATCGGAAAAAAAAAGTCATCGACAAGAGACAAAAAAAAGCGAGATCGTTGCCGGGACTAACCGGAAATGGACGAGCACAAAGAGGAAACGGGAAAAGCATTGTTTTTTAATTTTTTTTTTTTATGTATTTGATAGTGACACGGGCCACATCGTGGCCCGTCGATCGATGTCGTTGTCATGGCTACCGGGGCCGCGCGATTCTCTACTACTGATTATTTATGTCAAGGATCCTACAGTGAAATGCGAACGCAAACGTGTACCAACCCCACACCCTCTCTCGCGCTCTCTCACTCTCTCCCTCTCTCCTTCTCTTTGTGAAACCCCTGCGCTGATTTTCGTGCGCATGTCATAGGAGAGAGAGAGAGAGGAAGAGAGAGAAAGAGAAAGAGAGAGAGAGAGAATGAGGGGTGGTGAATGCTTTTCACCCCCCCTCCCTCTCCATTTCACATAAACCCCTCTCCTGAGTCATTTCGACCCAGTTTCACCCTGTCGTGGCCTCGTCCGGTAATCGATAACTTCCACCCAGAGAGTGCGCTCAAATCAAGGGGTTACTATCATCCTCCCCTCCCCCTCGCTCCACCCCGTCGCTCTCGTACTTCACTCGACCTCCCCCACTTTACCCATTTTCTAGTTGCACCAGTTACCCTGTTTCGTAATAACAATTACTGGAAGAAGGTTTTTCATTTATTTATCGTTCTTTTTTCACAGGGTTTTTTTCCAAGGGTGGGGCGGGGTGGATGAGACAATTAAGCGGGCTTACTGCGTTGTTTAATTATTTATTTATTAAGTGGAGGGGGGAGGAGGGAATTAATTCAGGACTGAAGGGCTAGAACGGGATAAGTCAACTGGACTCAATGGGTTTTTTATTTCCATTGAAATTTCAAGGAATTTTTGCATTGAAATTTCATAAGTTCATGGGAAATCCCGTGGAAACTCTAAATTTCAGTTTCATTGTTCCTCGAAAATTTATGCAAAAGGAGGAACATTCGGAGAAATCTTTGCTTAAATTCCAGAATCCTCTGAATTTTCAGGGAATTCAATTAAAAAATTTTTAGAATTCCGTGAATTGTAAAGTAATTCCCGGAAAATTCAAGGGAATTTGGTAGCCAAAATTCATTTTCAGTTGAAAATTCATGTAAATTGTGGAATTTTCTTCTTTCTGCCGCTAAAAAATGGGGACTTTTTCAGAGAAACTTGAAATTCCATTGACTTTTTCCCCTTAAATGGAATTGCAGGTTTCACCGCACTTTTTCCGGAAAAAGTGGGGTGGATAAGACAGTTAAATGGGCTTCCTGCGTTGTTTGATTAATTATTTATTTGTTCATTTGTATTTTTCAAGTTGAGGGGCCAGGAGGGAATTAATTCAGGACTAGTTCTTCTTCTATTCCAAATTGCTTTATCCCCAACTCGGATAGGGGCAAGTGCCAATGTTCAGGACTAGTCCCGGAATAAACCCTTCAGGCTAGAACGGAATAAGTCAACTCAACTACGGGATTGGTTTTTGATAAATGTCCTCGGATTTTTAAGGGATATGGAAACATCGTGAAGAACTTTTTATGGGTCTCATTTATTCTATTCTAAGATATTTGAAAGAGAAAAGCAAAAATATTAGGTTTTAGAAATTAAGCATTCTAAAATCTAACGAATGAGAAACGATTTTGTTTATATTAAAAATTTATGAATTTCTTCGGTTGCTGTCTAAAAAATCAATTGATGTAATTCCGCGAAAATTTGGAAAGTTTTTGATTTTGTTTTCAAGTGAAATGTCGATGAAAATCTTAGAGAAATTCGAGACGATCGATTTACCGAGGGCATGAACGACCCGAAGGTGCTGGGGGCGGAGGATTAATATCATTGCCCTTCTTTTCTTGTTGTATTTTTTATGATAAAAAGGAAGAGGGAAGTAAATTCAGTACTGAAGTACTAAAATTCAGTACTAAAACGAGATAAGTCAACTTAACTCCAAGATCGTTTCGAGAAACAACATGATATTTGAGTGAAATAGCATCATGAAGGGTTTTATGTAGTTTTTATTCTACTATGACTTAAATTCAATAGGGACTATCTGAAAATTATCATTATTGCTGGTATTATTATCAGTTTCCTATTGTACTTTTTATGATAAAATGAAAGAGGAAATGAAGCCTGTGCTGAAGCCCTCTAAAACGAGATGAGTCAGCTGAACTTCATCATGAATGTTCAACGAATATATCCGAGGCTAGAGGAGATAGCAACGAAACCATGGGGTACTTCCTGTAGGTCTCATTTTTCTCTATATCACAAAAGGTCCTTATGAATTTTTCGCTACACTGTTAAAAATTTTCGTCCCAATTTTCCGTACCAAATTTTGAAAATTGTCGTGTTCCAATTCCACTGAAATCTCAGGAAATCTTGTCATTGAAAATTCAGAATTTCGTGGAAAAATCAAACAGAACTATAAATTTTCGTTCCATTT